ATTATTTTAAAAATAAGTTACTTCTTAATTTTGTCCCTACATTTTAAAAAGAGTGATTTATTATGTGGGAAAAGTTTTTTTTTAAATTAGAATATTATAATTTTTTTTTTAGAATTTGAGGGAGGGTAGTTTTACAATTGTAGACAAAGCTTACAGAAATTAAGAAAAAAATAACTTGTACAAAGCACCAAAAACTTGCCAAAGATTTATAAAAAGTGCCGAAGGAAGTAACTGTTGGATGATTACATCATTGATTAATTGATTATTAGATCTGATTTTTTTTTTGGGGGGCAAACATAGTATTAGATTTCATTAGATGTGACATGCAATATAGCAAGGCAAGGCATGCAGGTCGCATGAATCATGGCACGTTTGGCGCACTACTAAATCGAAAGCCCTCTCCCTCCAATGCCTCACCTCATCACCTGTCCGTGCAACAACCGATCCAAAGGGGGGAGAGAGAGGGGAAGAGGGAAACAATCACAACCCAATCTTGCAAGCTAAACCCTAATTGATTAGCATTCCGCTCATTGTTTCTCTCTTTTTCGCCATCACGACCTCTCGTCCAGTCTTTTAGATCCAACGGAGATTGTTCTAGCACTTTCTTTCTTCCGGTAAGAATCCGCTGTTTTTTTTTTTAATTTTATTTTAAAATGTTGCATCTTCGTTTTCCGTTTGTTTCTGCATCGCGTTATTCAGTATCTAAGGAGGCACGCAATGGTGGTTATTCATTCTATTTTTGTAACGCTTAACGGGCAGGAAGAAGACGGCAAAAATGTGGGGAATAATCCCCATTTTTATGCGTGAACATGTCAGGGAAAATAGCTAATACCTGATTGAGCAACTAGTTGAGTTTTCCCCTATAATGCTTATATAAAATTAATGCTTTACCTCAAGTCATTCCCTTCCCTTTTCGTGCGGTCAGCCTATTTGACTATGAATTTTTTAGCTTAGGCGCTATTGTGAACAGTACCAATTTGCTTTGCGTTTTGTTTTGTCGTATACATTACTGCTTCACATGCCTTTACTCTTGGTGGCCGAGGGAAGGAGTTCGATTGAAGTGCCGTGGAAATTGGAAGCTGAATTCGGGGTTGTAGAAAGTCTGTATTTTGCGTTTGAACGCTGCTTGAGTGGAGTCGGGACTTTTTATGCTGAAGTGCAAATTTTCTTTTTATTCAAATTACTTTTAAATTAAATCAGTTCCCGTGAAAGATCAAATGTACTTATCATCTGCATAAAATTTATCTTCATTCATGCTGGTGAGTTGTGTTTCTTTGACAGTGGATTCTTCCTCAGAAGTTTACAGCCATGGTGTTTTGGGTTTTTGGCTATGGTTCACTTGTGTGGAACCCAGGATTTGAATATGATGAGAAAATCATTGGCTTCATAAAGGGCTACAGACGTGTCTTTGATCTAGGTAAGGCTCTCAAGGTATTTATCATGTCATGATAATCTTATTCAGCTTTTACCATTGCTTAGACATGTCATTTACTTGCTGCAGCATGCATTGATCACCGAGGTACACCTAAAAACCCTGCAAGGATTTGCGCATTGGAAGAGAAAGAAGGGGCTCGTTGCGTAAGGATCTATTATATTACTCTACGGTTAAGAGTGGCTTTTGTCCCCCCCCCCACCCTTTTTATGAGCTCTTTGATCTCATTACAGTGGGGTGCTGCTTATTGTGTTCGCGGAGGCCCTGAAGGGGAAAAATTGGCAATGCAGGTATTTGTTTTCATTGATGCAATCTCCAGAATGAACTCTTGGTTGTTCATCTTCTCGCATGAAATAAATGTGGTTGTAGGCATTACGATAATGTCAGCATTTTTTAATGAATTGATTCAGTTATTTATTCTCATAACATCATCCCCCCTCTCTCACATTCTGCTGTTTGATGCAGTATTTGGAGCAAAGGGAATGCGAATATGATCAGAAGACTCTTGTAGATTTCTACAAGGTGAGGTTTTCAATAATTTAGCAATCATGAATTCTTAACTACATTATTATTATTATTATTATTTAGATTTAGAAATTAGAACTGGTACTAATTTGTGATCTTTTATAGGAAACTGATACACTGCACCCCGCTTTAACTGGAGCGATGGTGTAAGTTATTTAGCATTGCCTCTCAGTTTTATTTCTTTATCTTCAACTGGACCCAGTTAAAATCTCACGCCATTGGTCTGTTCCGAATGCGAATTTACTGACAGACTCATTTCTATAATCCAGATTCACATCCACACCAGACAAATCAAACCAATACTACCTGGGATCTGCCCCACTGGGTGACATGGCTAGGTATATTGCAGTAGTTTCCGCCGTTTATGTGCAAAGGGTATCCTTTTCTTTCTGGTTTATCTAATATCTGGAGATCATTCAGGCAAATAGCAACTGCTTGTGGCCCTTGCGGAAACAACAGGGACTATATTTTCCTTCTAGAAAAGGCCATGTATGATATTGGTGAGTTTTTCTCATCTCTGTTCTAGTGCTTGCAGTAATAACCCTCTGTCTGCATGCAAAAGGGGGAACATAATTTGCATATAAAATTATAAGCCTTTTGTTGGTCTATATGCCTATTTGATGAGTTTTGGGAATCTTGATATGCAGGTCATGAGGATGACATGGTCATAGAACTTGCAAATGAAGTGAGGAAGGTAATTGAAGATATGGACCATGTAGTAGCCAAGGACAAGTTGGGTGGGCCAGGACTACTCCCATACCCTCACGATCCTATACCTGCCCTTTGACTGCACGCACTTCCAGAACCCATTGCCCTCGACTCCTCGTGATTGCTGATTCATTTCCTAGTTTAACTCTTCACATCGCAGAGCCACTAACCACTCTATTTTCTTCTACCAAGCCTCTCTCTTTTACAATGTAGAGCAGTTCCAGTTCTACTCCATCCTCAACTAGCCGAAGTCTAACCAACTAACTCGAACTATTTAGCTATATTGAATAGCTCCAAGCATAATCACATACTAAACCCAACGTGGTATTGGAGCCTAAAGGCATATTAGATTCTAGAACCTTGCAAAAAAATTAAGAGGGGGGGGTTCTATTGGTTAAATAGCTTATACTATAGCACCGAATACAATCAAATACAAAACTTAACTGCTCCTTGTTTCCTTGATTAGGTTCGTTAGCTTATCCTACTTGCGGCCATTCCCTTGACATGTTGCTTAGGTCCGTTTAGTGGTTTAGGTCAGGCTAACCCACCTTCTGGTGGTGGGTGTAATTAGTCGAAGATGTTCTGTTTCTATCTATTTATAACTATGACGTCAAAACTGTGAGATTATGGTGGTATGTATCATTCTACAGCGATAGAAATACTAGATGGGGTTTCGCATAACGCTTGCTGCCACCCTGCTTATCTCATCACATCATTGTGTGATATGAAGTGACTTGAGACTCGCAATTCCTGCAAGACTAATTTTCAGTTGCCCCGCAAAGTTGACAGTTAGCACACCGAATATTGTATCAACAGTAATAAGACTAATGTGTCAATTCATGTTTTACAAATGGTTTTACGACTGATTTAACATCCAATAGATGATTTTTATTAATCTGTGTATAATTAATATATGCAATAAAATTTAAGGAAATTAATTTTTAATCCGTATAGTTTCATAAGGTTTTATTTTTAGTCTTATAGTTTTTTTAATATTTTTAATTTTTATAGTTTAAAAAAAATTGAGTGACTTTTATTTTATAGATTTTTATAGTTTTTATCTTTTCAATAGCTTTAGTCTCTCTAAAAATTAAAAATATTGAAAAAAATTATAAAAATTAAAAGTAAAACTCGATAAAATTATAGGAATTAAAGATTGTATTTTTTTTTAAATTTATATCAAACTATATCATTAGTACCTTTTTTCCTTGACACGCACAAGCAAAGCATGTATTGATTAAAAAAAAAAAAATGCTCTTGGGATTATGTTAAAATTACTTGTTTTAAACATGATCATTGAAATAAATATTAAAAATTGGTATTAAATAATGATAAAATTAGCTCAGCCAGTTAACTATTTTTTGTGGAGGTACGCGTGATAAAAATGCTTCAGTACGAAACGGGTGAAGCAACAACGAGTAAAGATTTTTGAGAATTTGTTATCATATTACTCCATCTAAGTTGATATTTTCAATTATTTTTTACCCAAAAGTAAAAGTAAATTTTTTTTTATGAAAAAATGTTTTTCCTTTTTTTTTATCTATAACCATTTTATTATGATGAGAGACAAATATTTAATTAGATCATATTTTTGATGCCCATATTAATTAATATAAGAGTAAATCTAGATAAAATAATTTTGTAAATGTCTCATATTTTAAACTAAGTTTGGCTTAAAAAAATGTCTTACCATTGAAACTGGACAGCACATCTCATTCAAGTAACCATCAGCTCTTGTTTTTAAGAAGATTAGAGAGTGTTATAGCAGTAGAGAGTGTTTAATAAAATTTATTTTTTTATAATTAAACTCACTAAAATCACCTCTCCATTTCCTTTTGTTAGTTATAAATTAAATTCTTAATAATCAGACCCATCAATTCCAGATTACTTCCAACTCAATGTTATTAAAAGTACAGAAAAACAGACAACGTGGTCAAAGTGAAGACATGTTTTGTTTCTATCTCTATTTTTTATTTTTAAAAAATGTCTTATAATATAATTTTTAAAATTATTTTTTAAAATAAAATAAAATGAAATCCATTTAGTTATGTTAATTTAAAAATAATTTTAAAATTAAAAAAATAGATTCATAATAATGGTTATAAGTAGTTGATGATAGTAAAAAAAAAATTAAATAATCAAATATAATATATTTTAAAAATTTTAAAAATAAAACAAAATAACTTAAAAATTAAATAAAAAATACTTATCTAAATAATTTTTTTATTTTTAAAAATTAAATAATCAAGCCCTCAATCTATCCATCTATTTAATTATTTAGAAGGAAAAGTCTTTTTCTTTTTCTTTTTGCCCTAAACTTGGACAGCAAGTTAAGGCCCTATGACAATGAATGGGGTTTTGTTTTGCTCCTTTTGCTGTTATCATCGTTTCTGGAGAGTGGCGTCTCGATCTCAGTCTTGGTGTTAGGGCTTCGCGCGGTTTAACCTCTTATTCTTCTTCTTCGTCTGTTGCTCTGGGGCTAAGCATGGATCACAGCCTAGATTTCAACGCCCCTCATTCCATGGGGACGACAATCGTCGGTGTCACTTACAATGGTGGCGTTGTTCTCGGCGCTGACTCCCGAACCAGCACCGGTACGCTCATGCACTGCATTTTTTTTTAAATCTTCATATTCTATTTTTTAGTTGCAGTAGCGGTAAGCAAATTAGTTGAGTTTGGGGTTGATATGATGGCTTGTCTGAGAATCTGGGGTTGCCCAGCTATAAATTCAAATTCATGTTCATAGTATCCTTAACTTGTCATGAATTTTGCGCTTTTTTCTGCCTGATGTTTGCAGCGATACGTTCTCCCTTTGCCCCTGTCGGGCCTTTTTCCATCGATTGCGATATAGAAGCTAATCAGGGGAATTTTTTTTCCCCATTTCTTTTTTAATAAACACTTGAAAATTTTGTTCTTAATATGAGTTTTCCTTCACTTGTCATTTTTGGGGCTGAGTGTTCCTTCCATTTCTTACCACCCCTTCTGCAGGAGTATACGTTGCTAATCGGGCTTCTGACAAAATCACACAACTGACAGATAATGTCTATGTTTGTCGCTCTGGATCGGTAGCATTCTTCCTATTTCACCTCTCTCACTATTTATTTTTGTTGGTTGATTTGTTATTTACGTTTTGCTTCATTTACTCCTTCTTCTTGGATTCTACTTGGTTTGCTGTGTTCAATCAAGACTGGACTGTATGCGGTTTCATATATTCTTACTATCAAATTCACTGAACAAGACGCAACAAGTGTATATTTTCTAACAATAAGGTGACAGGAATTATATGGTTGTTTACAAAAGCTATGCGCTCGTCATATTATTATTGAACAACCATATGATTCTTATCAAGCAGATGCGATTTAAACATTTTGAGGGTTTAGCACTATGATTAACCAGTTTTACCTAGGCAAGGCTTTGATAAAATTGATATGTTGGTGGATGACTGTGATTTTGGTAATTCAAGATTGTTAATAATGTCTTAGATCCTCATTATTCTATACAATCTGTTTCTACTTTTTATGCTTTGCCCCAGGACCTTAAGTTTATAGATGTTAACATCTGGGGGAAGATATGGAATTGAGTGATCCAGTGTTATCTTCTCTCATTCTTTTCGTTCTAATTTCTAATTATGATTCTGGTTCTTCATTCTTGAAGAATGATTTATATATTTATATATATATGTATATATATTTTTTCAGGCTGCAGATTCGCAGATAGTGTCTGATTATGTCCGCTACTTCCTTCACCAACACACGTCAGTGGCCCTAACTCCTATTATACTAATAGAATATTGTGAAATTTGAAATAAAGTCTTGGCTTCCTGGGTTATATGGATTAACAAACATTATTTAAGTTAGCTGCTTTGGAGGCTCCTTTCCTCTATGGCCTGTTTGAGTTTCTTGTTGCATGAAATGTTTCCTTTAAAGTTGGATAACGTTACTCTTGCACTCTTGGAGTCTCAGGCTGTTATTAGTGTTGTTATTTTTAACGTATGTTTTATGCATTGTTCCTCAAACTGATATACTCTTATGTTATTGTTTTTATTGATTGCCGAACCTTTGCTTATTTCAATTTTGTTCAAGTCTAGCCAAGGTTTTCTCATCACTAGTTTCCTTTCTGTACAGAATACAGCTTGGACAACCTGCTACTGTCAAAGTGGCAGCTAACCTTGTCCGCCTTCTATCTTATAACAACAAGGTTCAATTTTAAGTTTTTTATTATTATTATTTTTTGGAACTATATTGCTGAGTTTCTTGCAAGATTTGACTTGGCTGATTGCTGCCATTAGTGGATCAAAATTTTTCTTCCTTCATAAGAAATTTACAATACAATATTCATATTGCCAATGAATTATTTTGACTCTCTTGCATTCATTTTTGTTCAAAGATTTTATGTTTCTTACAAGAAGGCATCTGGCCTTCTGTTGTTGCTGCTGCTGTTGCATGCATGCGAGCGTGTTTTTCCTTGAGGTGTGTGGGATGCTGTTTTATGATTCAATGGGGAAAAACACGTGATCAAGTGCCTTTCCTGATATTTAGAATGATGTTTATTACAGTCATAAATGCTGCCTCATAATGTTATTGAGTATAATGAATAATCTGATTATTACATTTCTTGTGACATTGTGATAGAAATTGTGATGTCAGACAATGTGTTAAGTTTCGGATGAAGTAATAGAGAAATTCTTGAAAACAATGCACTTGACGATAGCTGTTATCTTTTTGCAGTATTTATCTGTAAGTGCCGATTAACTATAGCATAACTGCCTAAGCAATAAGGATTTGGGGCACCTAGATGAGTTGGAAACGTATTTATAGTATTGAAACAACTTTACGTTACATTGATGAAGTTCTTACCTTCATATAGCATCTTGAATCCATAAGCTGTTTTATCCATCAGGTTTTACTGAAAATCTATTTTCATTGACAGAACTTTTTAGAGACTGGCTTAATTGTTGGTGGATGGGACAAATATGAAGGGGGACAAATTTATGGAATTCCTTTGGGGGGAACGATAGTACAGCAACCTTTTGCTATTGGAGGTAGTTTAGCATTAGCATTGTGATTGAATGCAATTATCATCACTATCTGTGCATGCATGTGCTTATGCAGTTACACACATGGCACCTGTTATACCTTGATTCATTATCATCATTTGAAATGGTATAGTTACTTGTTTAGTTCATGATAGTTGAAGCTATTTCAATTGTAGTTCATAATATGAAAATTCTGATAGTATGATCCCTTACTGAAGTGTATTTTATGTATTGCTGATCACACTCGTGTGATGGACTTTTCTGGCAGAGATTGTTGGTTTTGAAATTCTTGCCTTTTGAATGTTTGAATCTATCGTTTTGCATGTCTTATATATATATATATATCAAGTTGAAACATCCTTGTTCACAATTGTGTATGATATTTTTGTGTGTGGCGTTTTTCATATTGTATACATCTTCCTTTAATTCCTTTTCCATGTCAAGTATTGATTTTTGGTTGGATGCTTAGAATATTTTTAATCCAGCTGTGGTTTATATGATGTGTTTGACAGGTTCTGGCTCAAGTTACTTGTATGGGTTTTTTGACCAAGCATGGAAAGAAGGGATGACCAGGGATGAAGCAGAGGTATGGGTGTTGGTTCTTGCCAGTGCCTGCCTAAAACTAAATTAATGAATAAGCTGAAATAATGTCTTGGTTCCTAAAGTTTGAGCCAATTATTGATTTTGCCCCAAAAGTTTTATTTGGTTCAATTATGACCCACCTTGGTTCAAACCTCCTCTCTTTTATTAATCTATTGGATCCATCAACCTAAATGATGGAAATTACATATCTGGCATTTCTTTGTGTCTGTGTAGGATCCTAATATTCGAATATTCTTCCTTGCTTTTGTCCTTTTATTTTCCTTCTCTCTCTTATTCCCTTCATCCTTGGAGTTTTAGAGAAGGGAACGACCATGGATTTAGGCCATGGATTGGAGATTAACTGGGACAATGAGACACTTGACCATCATTCCTTAGCCATGCTTTTTACCTTGTCATTCTTATTTATGGAGATTTATAAAGATTAAAGGGCCAATATCTTCATGCCTAGGAAGCAGACAAACAGATATTCATGCTCTTGTAGAGGTACAACCTATTTGAGGGTAGGAGAGCACAGGAGCTTAGGAAAATGTACATTCTTGTCTGGGGTTCTATTGTTGGTTCGACATCATGAGCGTGGTCTTCAATGTGGACTTTGCGATGTCACCAAATGGCAATATTAGTCCTTTAAGAACACATCGTAGCTGCAATGTACGAATGAAAATTAATGACCCAAACAGGGCAATATCTTGTTGCTTTCTTGCCCCAAATTGCTGCGTATTCATGAAAATGCTTGGCCAAAAGTCCATCAACGAGCACCAGATAGTTGACTGAGCGGTGTGTGGTCATTTATCTCCCCTGTAACTGCAAAGATGTAGGCAAGAAGAGAAGCGGAAAAGAAAGAATACTTTAGCATTAAGATGTCATGGATGCATGATGATATAGGGCAATTGCTGTCACTTACTAGGAAAACGCTAAACCTGTTTTAATAATGAAAATTGAAGTTGTGAAACTTTCTTCAATGAATTTATAACTCGACCCAGATCAGAGACCAAAACCACACTGTAAAGCTAAGAGCCAAATATGACAATTAGAAAGGATTTCGGAGTCATTATTAAGTTAGTCATCTTGTCATTTATGATTTGGGAACTCGCACAATTTAATTCTTTTGTTTTTGGTGATTATGTCTGTAGTTTTATTGCCAATGGCTATCTTTGTGTTCTAATGACAGGAATTAGTAAGAAAAGCAGTTTCACTGGCTATCGCACGTGATGGTGCAAGTGGTGGTGTTATACGCACTGTGATTGTTAGTATTTTCTTCCCTCTTCTTTTTTATTTGGTGATGAAAAATGCCACATGCAACTCTTAGCAGGTCCCTTTATCCGAATGATTATTATTTGATTTTCCGATAATAAATAACATAAACTGTTGTGAAGTTTTCATATATAAGTGATATTCACTTATTATTATTTTCCATCTCAGAAGTTATATGCTTATCAATATAAAACAAAGACTCTGATAAGACGTTGGGTGATTTATTTTTTTGATTTTCTGTGACTTGTATTACTCACATTTTGTTATATTTTAAGTGAACAATGCGATAGTAAAAATATAAAATAGTTATATCTAAGATCCTTTCGTTTTATGATTACTTTCAGCTTTGCTACACTCTGAAACCTCGGAATCGTTATCCATGTTTTTTTCTGTAGATAAATTCGGAAGGAGTGACTAGGAACTTTTACCCAGGGGACAAACTTCCTCTGTGGCATGAGGAGCTGGAGCCACAGAATTCTCTGTTGGACATTCTTAGCTCTCCTAGTCCTGAGCCCATGAACATGTAGGCCCTTTCTTACGCAACCTGCTATGCCGTGCTGAGTTTTTTTAGGCTCCTTGCAACCGCTTTACTGAGCCTGAATGTGTACTTTGCAATGTGCTTTTATATTATCGTGACGTAATTTTTTCTTTTCGGATGCACAATTTAGATAAAAGGATTATTAGTTCTTAAACAAATAATATTACTTGTGAAGAATTCTGTACATTCACATACTGAGTTTCTTTTTTTTCCCCCCATTTTAATCAGAGAGTAATGTGAGAGCAGTTATGTTTTTTTTTGGACTGAAAAATGCATTCATAACTCAGTTTACATGAGGGGTATTACCTAGTTAGTTTCTTTCATCATCCTCCGCCTCTTGCACCAGAGGTGGGGGTGATTAAAGGTTCAGGAATTAACATCTAAGCTATGTGACATTTTAGCTAAAAGATCAGCATAATTGTTGGAGAATAGTTGAACTCCAAATTCCTATGATACGAAAGATGAGTGTCATCAACAATATATTTAAATGGGCAGGGCTCCTCCCAACCTTTGATAACAGACAATGTATTCGATAGTGTCACAACAAATATCCACACTTGGCAAATCGCCCAACACAGATTCAGGCCATTAACAATTGCAAGGAGTTCCGGGATTACTGATGGGACATTAATAACTTTCTTGCTAAAGCCATTGATCCAATTACTATATGCATCCCAAGTAACCCCTCCACATTCACTGCTTCCATTAGATAAAATGGAATCATATACTTTTAGTTTAGCAAAAAAAAAAAAATCCACTTCAACTTTGAAAACATCACTTCTACTAGGGGTGTACATGGGACGGGATGGGACTAGGACACCTTCGTCCCGTGTTCCATCCCGAAATAAAGATCAAGATTGAATTTTGGTCCCGTGTCCTGTCCCGTTTCGAAAGTCGTCTCGTCTCGTTAAGAGTCGGGACGGGATTGGAATAAGATCGGGACGTCTCGTCGTTTCGATAAATAAAATAATATCAAAAAAAGATTTGGGTAATAATATTCATTAAAATTTTAAATTATATAATTTATTAAGTTTAAAATTAAAACAACACAAGCACATAAATAACAATAATTTAAAATTAGTTATTGAATTATATTAATCACAACTACATATTATAATAACAAATATAAGTGATCTTTATGCTATAAGATTAGCAACAACATGCAAGTCAAATACAACATCAAATCATTGTTCTTCTACTTTAATAAAGATGTACTAAGCTAATTACTCTTCTAAAAATAAGCAAGAAATATGTTATAAATAAAAGTTATTAAATAGATAAATATAAGAGTAAATTATATTAATATAATTAATATATTATAAAGAAAGATATCGTCATGTTTACTCCATACCATTAAAATTATCAATATAAAAAAACTTTAGTTTTAAATAAAAATTACAAGTATTAAAATTATAATTGATATAATTAATATAAGTATAAATTATATTAATATAATTAATATATTTAAAATAAAAAATAATATATATATATATATAATATTCAGGACGGGACGGGACGTCCCGATGGTAATCCTGTGTCTCGTCCCGATTATTTTCGGGTCGGGACAAGACTCATCCCGATATGATCAGGACGATACCGGGCCAGTCGGGATGGCTCCAAACTGAACACTCCTAACTTCTACTTGTAGAATTTGCCAAACGTTTGGTCTCGCGAGACAAGGATGGAGTAAGTAGAGCTGATAACTCAAGTGGGTCAGGTTTAGTCAGATTGGATTTAAAGTATCTTACTTTATTTAAAAAATTCATATAGCTAAACTTGATGTTAACAACTTCGAGCTTATTCATATTGGCTTGAATATTCAAAATTTTTTAAAAATATTTTTCCTTCATTTTTTGAATCAATTTTAATTCTTTAATAATTCTGTTGAGTATAAAATATTATTTTAACTTTAAAAGAATGAAAGAAAAAATGATAACTTATCAACTTTATACTTAAGTAACTCAATTACTTTTTTGTTGTATTACATGTAATTTATTCATGAATGTTTTGTTTACTTATAAATTAATGTCTTATTGTTTAAATACTGTTCTTATTATGGTAATATATATATATTTTATATATTTTAATTAAATTAAATTATTTTAATGATGATTAAGTTAATCTCAATTTAACCACGGTTATACCACTAATTTAAAATTATTTCCTCGATTAGTTTAAAGTTTTTAATAACTTTTGAATAAACTTTGCTTTTAGTTTTTAAAAATATAAGAAAAATAGTAATCATTGTATTATATAAAATAAAACTATTTAATTATGAGTAAAATATTATTTTTTAATTATTTTTCTTTAACTTTTTATATTTTTTAATTCTTGCATATGAGGGATATTTATTTTAATTTATTCTTAATTTTTAACCAAGTCTTGCGTGGACAATACCTAAATAATCATCCAAGAATATTACTATATTTATTATGTTTATCTAATAGTAGAGTCGAGAAATCATACGTGCACGAATTTTATTATTAAAATTATTTTTCATTTAATTTTTACTTTAAAATTAATTATCTTATTTTATAAAAATAAAAAAAAATATATTTTTTGTATACTCAAATGATGTATAGGACTCAAAATTTTTTTTTAAAAAAAATAATTGGGTCTTAAAAATTAAAATATAAAAATCAATATTAACATATATTTTAAATATTATTTTGAGATATTTTATTGATTATAACTAGTAAAAATATGAAAATATTTTTATTTTTATTTTTTAAGAAATAAATATAGTAATGCATTCAGATATATAGTATTTTAGTATAAAATAATATAAAAATTAAAGAACTAATTAATATTTATTATATTAGATAGATTTTAAAAATATATTATTTTTAATAAATAATCCAATTGGGCTCTGTCCAAATTTTTTCTAGGCTATCTAAGCCTGACTGAATAAGTTGAATGTTAAAAAATATAATTTTTTTGGTTTGATTTTAATTTTTTTTAGATGAGTTAAGGCTAACTCGTTGAATTTGATTCAAATTATGAGTTTTAAAAATAAGTCCTATGAGATTCATATCAAAGCAAGCTCTAAAAAGGCTAAAAATCATTGCGAGGGCAAATATGTAATAACCAAACTTTCTCACTGTTATAAAACTCCAGCCCATTTGTTTCTGTCACTTGTTAGTTTTTATTAAATATCACTTTTCTAAATTAAAATTTTAATAAATAATTATAATTATTACTTGGGTTGTTTATTATTAGGAAAAATTTCAGTAAGGGACCCTTAACTGAAGATAATAAAAAGAGAGAACTCTTAAATTTTTAAAATTTTACTAAAGGACTCGTACATAATTTTTGTTAAATTTGTGATGAAATAACAAAATTGTCCTAATTTAAATAAACAATATAAACGATTGTTTGTTTTCATTCTGTATATTGTTCATTTACTCATAAAACATTATTCGTTTTCTTATTTTACTTGTTCATAACCCTAGTTTTATTTAATTTTATTTCAAATGTTGGTTTTATGATAAGACAACTTGTTTGTTTTCATACTGTATATTATTCGTTTACTAATAAATGTTATAAGTAAATGAATAATATATAGTATGAGAATAAATAAGTCATTTATATTGTTCATTTAAATAAAGACAATTTTATTATTTCTGTTACCAATTTGACAAAATTTCTATATGAGTCCTTTAGTAAAATTTCAGAAATTCATATGTTTTCTTTTTTATTATCTCTGATCAAGAGTCGTTCACTAAAATTTTCTCTTATTATTATATTGAGGTGTCTAAAGTGGACTCCACTGTTAAGTTGCTTTTGGGTTATTCCAAAGGTTGTTTGATGATGCTTAAAAAAAGTGATATTTAATTGGTGAGAGATTTTATAGCAAGTTTTATTTTATAGAAAATTTGTAAAAATTAAAAATTATTTGTATTTGGTTATGTTAATAAAAAGATTATTATTTAGTCATTTTTTAATTTTAATAAAATTTTACTCCCTCCGTTAAAAAATATAAGATTTTTTTTTAAGAATTGAATGTTAAAAAATATAAGATATTTTTAATCTTTCAAGGTATAATCATTATCTTTTTTTTTCCAAAAGTCTTGATAATGATTTTATATTTATTGTAGGACGTTTAACATGGATAAATATAAAAAGATAAAATTAATTTTCAAGTAGATAACTACTTTATTGGGGATGTGATTTGGTTAAAAATGCCTTACATTTTTAAACAAAATGAGTTTAATTTTTATTTTAAAAATAATTTATTATTTAGTTATTTTACATATAATATCTACATGTATTTTCATATTTTTATAATATTTTCTCTTGTTAGCCAATTATAAAAATATTTTTTTAGATTTTAATTATCTTTAAAAACTTGAGTAAATATCTTAAACTTTTACAAGATTTTTTTTTAAGAACGCTGATTTTGTTTTTTTAAAAAAGAAAGAAATAAACTGGCCCTAAAAACCTTCAATGGACTGGATTCAAAGTTGAAATCTAAATTTTTAACTGGTTCAAACTAAGAAGCCGAACTTTCAACGAAATTGCTTAGACATGTAGTGGCAGAATTTATTGAAGTATTATTGTAGAAAAATCCAAATCGAAACAAGTAATTTTTTTAAACGAGTTTACAAGTTGATTATTGTAGAAATTTTGCGTATAATCAATACAAATCGAAACAAGTGAGTTACTGTAGCTTTCTCTTATGTCCTCAAAACTTTCTGTAGCTAAAGTTGGTGTTAGTATTCTTATAGATTTTTATATCTTACTTGTGTCTAAAAAGCGTTCTCTGTTAGTCAAGATCAGCATAGAGTGGATATATTTTAACTATCCATGTCCAACTTTATTTGTTGCAAATTTTAGGAGTCCTAAACCGAACAGCGATGAGATGAATCTCACCCTTTCACATAGCCTATGCTATTATAAAATAAATTATCTGCTAGAATAGTGTGATGTATAATTTTATTTTTATTATAGTGAAATAGAGTTAATTAAATAACTTCATTGGAATAAAAATACATAATGAATTAATTTCAGTCTAAATAATCATAAAGAGTCTTTACGTTTATTTGTATGATATATACTGTTATCAGTTGTTCAAATATTTGTGGCAGAGGAAATCGAGTTATATGTTAGCGTTAAATAATATGCTTCACTTCTCACTTATAAAAAATAGGAGATCTAATTTTAATAGTGTGTGTGCAAATTAGGAGATCTATTTCAACATATACTCTCTCCATTTAAAAATATAAGGCATTTTTAAACGAATCTTACATCTAATAAAGTAGTTATCTACTTTTTAACTAATCCTGTCTTTTTATATTTGTCCCTATTAAATACCCTACAATAAATGTAAAGTTATTATCAAAAGTAGCACTTTTGAAAAAAGGCAATGATTACTCTTTAAAAGATTAAAAATGTCTTATATTTTTGAATATTCAATTCCTCAAAAAATACTTTACATTTTTCAACGGAGGAAATATATATATATATATAAAAAATATAAGTCCACAAGAATATAATGAAATTTGGGGATCACTCTAATATTTGATCATTGTGTCTATATATTTGGGTTACATATTTTGGCCATCTATATTTTTAAATTACGCCTGTATGTATCTGTACAGTTGTAATGGATCTGCAAAAATGCACACATGGTTAATTACATTTATAAATATTCTCAATTATACATTCATGTACTTAAAACATGTTTACCATGCATTGAAAACTATTTGGCTTGTCATTACAAACATATAAGATTTTGAAACATCTAAGTTACAATATATCTAGATCAAGTAATTATATAATAAATATCAATTTCAAATTAATTTGAATCAATTTATGTAAACATCATTTGCAATGGCATACTTATTGCCAATTGTATGTTATTACGTTGTTTCTCGCGTTTGAAGCGGTGAAGGTTTAAAAATATTAATTCTTAATTATAATAGCCATTTTACTGACAAAACTTTAAATGTTATTTATAGAAAAGTTTTTAATAATTAATCCTAGCCTACTTCACGTTGTATCTATTTATAAAATATGTTTTTATCATTTGTTGTCTACCTGTGCATCGTTAATATTGTTGATGAAAGTCAAACGCTCCCATTATGTGTAGAATAATATTGAGAATGTATCTATTATAAGTTATTTTTTAAAAACAAAAATCTACAAAAACATAGATATAACCTATTTATAAAAACTGTTGTATAAAACATGTGCATTGCACGAGTAATTTATTGTTTAATATAAATAATTATGAATTCTTTTGCTCTGCTTTTCATTGTATCCATCACACCATGTGCGTTTTTTATATCATTTACTTTATTTTAATATACATATTTAATATTAATAATAATAATTATACTGCATATAAGATGATATAAAAAAGATGTTTGTTATAAGTTATTCTTTTAGAAAATATCTTTCTACAAGATTAACAATTTATTTATAAACTGTAGATGCATAGGGTTTAACTTTACTAGTTATTTTAAAAAAATACAAATCAAAACAAGTAATTTTTTCAAAACAAAAAACTGATATATACATCATCCCAAAATGACAAATGCTTGGAATAAATATGTTAAAACCACTAGGAAGAGTTTTACCCAAAAACATAATAAAATTGATTAATCACTAAACAAGAAGAGGAGATAGAAAATAGAAGACAAGCTCGGTCTCAATATCTTAAAATATTATTTTAATTAGAATTGTCAATTAGGATTAATCCTTGAAGGAGCAGGGCCTAAATGAGTTAGCTTTGTTAGGTCCGATTTCACTTTAAAGTTACACTTTAGTCAGCTTGACCTCACCTCTCAGGGTTGAAGGGCCTATATTTTTTATTTTTTAATTTAAAATTTTAAAAAATATATTTAAAATCATAAAAAATTATCACACATAACATTAAGTCTCGTATAATAAATTCAAGACAATGCATACAATAAAAAATTTAAGTCTAGTTAAAAATATCAACGTCACAAGATCAACATTAATAATAATTAAACTTTATTATCATCATCGGCTAAATCTTAATTATTTTATGATCATCAACATTAATATAATTTGATCATTCTCCTTGTGAAATCTCATCAATTATTACACATAACATTTAGTTTTATAGTATTTACTTTATATTAAAATTTAAAAAAATATAAGAGGGCTTACTTTTTTAAGCTCGATTTATCATTTTATACCTCAAAGAAGCAGCTTAGTCCTAAATTTATTTGAGTTTAAAAGGGCTGGCCTGATAGGCTTGACCCTAATTGACAGTTCTAATTTCAATCTAAGAGAATGTAGATAAATAATTAGAAGAATTTAAATTTGATAGTTGGCATAAACATATTTATTTAATACTTCAACTGATTTTTATTATAAAACACTTTTAATCTCACACATTATAAGAAAATTTTGTTTTTTTTCTTGATATTATAAAATATTGAGTGATGCTTTCATTTTTATCTTTAGCTTTAGATAATAATATGATTATATTAAATATCTTCACACTAATTAATAAGGGGTAAAATTAAAAAGAGTGATTTAATTATTACAATATTTTGGACTAAAAATTATCTCTAGAAGATGTTTTTTAAATAGGATCAGAAGGAGTATGTATTTTAATTTTATCAATACTTAAAAATTATTAAAATATATTTCATTTCAAAATTTTAAAATAAAATTGTTCTTTTAAAAATTTAAAATTTGATATTTCTTGAAAATGATATAATAAATTTTTGATTGCAAACCATTAAATCAAACCGATATATGAGACAACCATTGAACGTGGATTTAACTTTTAAGACACTGGCGGAATCATAATCAAAAGGGAGCCACTGATCCGTCCTCTGTCCTCACTTAAAATAAAATTAATTTAAATTTTTTATTTTATCCTATGAAACCTGCGATTGATTGAACTCAGAAGTAGACAGAAGCAGAGGGAGTGAAGTGAATTGGAGAAGATGAGTGTGGTTACTTCAGTGGGCATTCCGAATCAGTGCCTCCACAACGTCTTCGTCTATGGCAGTCTCCTAGCTGACGACGTCGTTCAAGTCCTTCTCAAGCGTGTCCCTCCTTCTGCCCCTGCCACCCTCCCCGCCCAGTTTGTCCATCTCTCCTTCTCTCTTCAACTTGTTTTGATTACTGATTTAAAACTGAAACGATTGCCACTTTGGTTTCCAATCTAAATCGATACCGTGGTAAATCTAATCAACGAATAGCGAAATGCTTGAAACACCGGTTTCCAATTCACAAGTTATCCACGATGGCGATGCTCCATCTTTGGAGCGCAATTCTCGAATTTTCCCCTCTTTACGTCTCCCTATAGGAAACACAATGTTTGATCTTAAGGGTTAGGGCATTTGATCATCTCTTATACCGTTTATCTTCTTATGACTCTTAACTTCGTTCTTGATTTGACTTGCAGTCATAGATTTAGCATCAAAGGTCGTGTTTATCCCGCTATTCTGCCCGTGGAGGATGAGAAAGTTACTGGAAGGGTCTGTAACGTCCTTGACATTATTGACGTCATTATATTGGTTGAGTCATAACTCATACAACCTGAAAATACTTACTTATGAATCTATGAGGCATCATTCAATACCTCAAGGCCTCAAGCTAGTAATATCTACTTCCTGTTAAGTAATTTTTCATTTTTTGGTTTTGAATGGAAGCCTACTTTATCATGACATAGTTGACCACATCTATAAAATTTAAGCTTATTTGTATAGAAGCGACATGGTAATCTGAGTTTGGTTGAATTCTGATCTTGCAAGAAATAAATACGTCCTAACTGATGTCTGGGTTTTATCTCTATAGCTTATGAGCAAGTCATTGTTATAGTTTTCTTTTGTCTTTTGTCTTGTAATGTATAGTATGGTTGTGAACTTATGTGATACATTCCAAGTGTCATTAGTTTCACTTTTCTCATAGACAATTTGTTCACACAAGATGCACAGACAAATTCTGTTCTTGAAGCTGGGAAATCAGTTCCCATTCCTTTTCCTTTCTTTCTGGTCAGGTCCTGCAGGGTATCTCAGATTTGGAGTTATATATTTTAGACGAGTTTGAGGATGTTGAATATGAAAGAAGTGATGTTGATGTTTATTTGAAGGTAAGTTTGACAGTCTATCTAAAATTTCTGTCTTTCTCAGCATCATCGCGTATTTGCACTACAAGTTGCATTAGCCAACCTAAGAACAAATGAAGAAAAAGACCGAAGGACAAAACTGAATGGGATATAGATCCACAAAGTGGCTAATTAAATTTGAGTCAGAATTTTAACTGACAAGTGAGGACGGTCTGGCTATTCATATCCTCCCAAGTCTAATATATGCTATATCTGTGCTTTTGGGAAAATACTAATGGAAAAGACGATAATTGCAGGATAATTCTGAAAAGCTACAAGCTCACACTTACATTTGGGGCAACAGATGTGACCCAAACTTGTATGGAGATTGGGATTTTGAGGTGAGCAACCAAGCTTTATTTTAGACATCCTTCAAAGTTACAAATTTGATCTAAGTCTCCGTATGTAAAGTTTTAGAACATGATTGAAGGGCTACAGTATCAGGAAAAAAAAAGAAGTTCTAGGTCAGTTGTGATTGCTTTCTTTCAAACCTTAAATAATACGCCAATTTGACTATCAAGATATGAAGTTTCAATACATTCATGAACTATTTCTCACTTCAATACGCATGTTGTTTTCTTGAACGTGAAAGTTTGGTGTTCCTTTTTAGTTTCCCCTCATCTTTACTCTAGTTTTAGACTGGAAAGATTTTTAAATCTGTTCAACATTGCCACAATTTATTATGTGCTCTATTCAGTGGCTTTTGGTATGTAATCACACTCAACAGTCTAATTTCTCAAGTATTTGAAAACTTATTTATAACAAAACTATAGCGCAAATTCTTTGAAAAGCAGAATTTATGATATTTAGGAAAAGTAAAACAGTGATAACTTTTACATTTTTCTTATGCGCATATATCTTATAAATAAGTATTGTCATGGTGAATTTTTTGGTACGGCTTAAAGAGATCCTGAAAAGAGGATGGTACCCTGTTCTTCTAGTCTCTAGGCTAATTTAGTAGCCTTGAAAAACATGAACTTGTGGTTCAGGAGGGAACTGACATTATTGATGTGATGTCATCATAATTTGACAATATAGCAAGTTGGTTAAATCTTGAAAACCGTTATTGCTACTATTACGATTTTCTTTAGATGCATATAGATTGAAATTGTACCTCGAGATTGTCAGATACCTGTGATTAATGTGCTTGGTCTTCAAATAATTTGTTCCTATATTATATTTAAAATCCCCTTTTTACTTCCTCACCTATTGTAAGAGGAGTTCTTATTCTTCCTCTCTGAATATGTGATTTTAAAGGAATGGAAACGAGTATACATGAATGACTTCATCAAGATGACTGAGGAATTTATAAAAGAACTGGAGTTGCCGGAATCAAAGAGAAGAATTCAGACATATGAATCTGTCTTTGAGCAAGACAATGACAAGTCACATGAGCCTTGAAGGCGACCATTTGTAAAGTTATGTGCTTTGAGATTTGTAATGGTCCGATCAATAATTTTACTGTTCCAATAATTATTGATTTTTCTGCGGCCTGGCTCATTGATAGTCTAATGAAATAAGCTAGTTGGCGCTAGTTCCCTTTTAGAAATCAGGTAGTTTCCCTTCCACTTTTATTTATATGTTTCACAAAAGGAGAGTTGATTTTTGTAACATATATCAGAAGAAAGATTCATAATAACCGTACAACATTGCAAGTTGACCCTGAAGGTCAAAATGGGACTCTAGTTGTAGAGTAAAATCTTTGGCACTCTAACTAGGACTCTTTAAGCCTTAAGGTATAAAGTCTTTGTTTTACCGTTTTTTTTTTTTCCCGGTTTTTTTTTTGGGGCGGGGGTTGGGGGCGGTTGGGGTTTGGGGGATTGGGGCAAAACAAACTTGGGCTTTGAAAGTTGGAACATCTCGAGAAATGTCAAGCTACCATGACTGCATTCCAGTTCCAAGAGGGCAAATGTGCAAGTGAATATAATATTATATCTCAACTCAAGATATTAAGATATAAGTTTATGGATTTTTTAAACTTGCATAAATATTCTCCAACTCAATTTTATTAAATGTGGGACTTTTTCCCATACTTCCTAGGCGCTCACTTTGAAGATGTCAATTTACTACAATAGGTAAGTCCAATTGGACTTGTGGGCTTCTAAGATATTTTTCAAAAGGACATATATAAAAATGTATTACTGTATCTTAATTTTAAAACATTAAATTTATAAGTTTTTTTTTACTTATGTACTTTTTTTTCAAGCTCTAACATTGTTCGACGTAAGACTTTTCCTATACCAGACCAAGCCAATCCACATATAATATCTCAACAAATAATTAATCACATACAAGTGGATGGTAGATAAATTTGAATTTAATGATTGAGGCCGCAGTGGCTCCAAATCTGGGGCGACATTAACTATGCGTCCCAAAAAAATGTGGGAATGCTAGTGAAGACCCAAGAATTGGAAGTCTAATGAAAACAAAATTATTTGATGGAATCGTTCATAATTATACTGAATCCTCCAAGTTCTAGTAAATGTGATTAAGACGAGCGTGAAAGATGGTTTTCATTATAAGGGGGAAACACGATCATCTGTTGTCCTAGGCCATTACTGCTCAGATGTTTTAGGCTGACCATTTTGTGTGGAAGCAGCATGACGCTTTATTTTCAGGTACCCAAACCTTCCAGCACCGGGTGATGAACCCTCAAACATAGAGGGCAAATACCCAGTGGCTTCTTTGTACCTCCGCTGAAGCTGAAATTGAAGAGTGCATTTGACAACTATAGAGTTCTACCACAAAAGTCATGCAAAAGGGGAAAAAAGGGGGGTGCGTGGGACACTTTGAAGACCATGAAAAGATTGGAAAGTTGAGATCTGTTAGACCTATGGACTGGAATATGAACATAAGAGGGCAGACTGAATAATAATCAAAAACAACTATGAGAAGAAAGTACTAATTATAATATCTTAAAATTTATGACATAATCATTGAATAAACTTACCTCGAGAATTTGTTCGCTGCTCTCTAGACAATTCTTACCGATCACACAAACGGTTCCACCTGAACCTCCACCAGTGATCTTGGCTCCGTATAATGTCCCACCTACAGCTTTGGATGCAGCACTATGCTGCAAGTCTTGTACCAATTGTACAATCCTATCTGTTCCGTCAGAGCCAAGTCCACACGCGCTGTAGCTGTAGTGGCACTGCAATGACAGTTAAATATCAAAACCTTTCTTATCCTTCTAATTTCCAGTTTTCTTCATTATTTTCTAGCAAGAGCAGCAGCGTGTGAGATATTAGGGCAGTAGATTGATAAGCAACTTCGCATTTTCATACCTGATACAGCAATTCCCCGAGTGCTGTAAGTTGATCGTTCAAAGATTTTGATGTTAACAGTGCTTTAAAGGTCTGCAAACCATAAGTCAGTGGGGATTTATTCAGAAGTGTATAAGAAGAAAAATCACCCATGATGTACATTGGCGAATAACAGTTAATGTAACTTGTAGAGGGAAGGAACACGCATTCGCACAAACATATTGAAAAGATTATATCCTCTGCTCTACAAGATTGGTGATGCTAAGCCTCAAATCCGGGTGTGTTAGATTGACATGTAAAAGCTCATACTGGTTTCACTAAATAAAATGAAATCTATTGTGAAGATTTACTTTCCTATGAAAAAGCTCAAAGGATTACAATTTTTACTGAAATCCCTTTCTAGATATTTGTATTGCCAGTGGGCAAAGGATCTGAGACAAGTAAACCCTTCTAAAATTTCAATGCATAATAATTGGGCCGAAAAGATGCATAGTGAAAAAGACATTCAGTATTGATAACCAATGAAATATTCCAACCCAGGGACTAACCTTGACTCGGAAATTTTCATATATCGGATGTGCTGTTGGAGCTCCTACTCCATAAGTACATTTCTCATCAATAAGAGTGAAAGGATCATCATGATCAGAGTATTGATCCAGAAATTTCTCACCAAAAATGGACTCAGGAATAGCCTTAGCATAAAGAGCCTCGTATCTGCAAATAAAAAACTTGTTGAGAGGCAATACCATATTTTCTTCACGTTTTGGTGAGTGTTACTAAAGCCCAATATAATAAAGTGATTGTCAGAGCAACTCAACTTCATACTCCTGCAAAAATATGCGTCACCATTACAAGTTACAACCCACTCTAGCAAGAAAGGGCTTTACCTGTGAGGTGGCAAATTGCATAGATAATCTAACGAGGCTTCTCGTTTTAGTAGTTCTATATCATCGTCCTCTTCATCATGGTTCAAGCTACCAGCAACTGTCTCATAAAATATGTCAGAAGCTCTGGACTTTATCATCTTCAAACCCATAAAGGTACCAATCCTTACAGATCCATAGTCCGCCCCTCCAACACTGAAACAGATTACCAATACGATAGGACAGGAGCAAGAGCGAACAAGGAAGAAATGAATCGGACGTGAAAGGGAAATAATTTGCAACGACTAAAGATATTTTCATGAAAGCTGCAAAGATTACCAAAAATAAGAACCTCATCATCATAGTTTAAGTAAGTAGATCACATAATTTCATTATAATCAATTGATACGTCAAAAGATCAATTTGAAAGGATAAAGGAAAGTGAATTTGGTGCATATTTCTGATAACAACCACGAAGATAAGAGTTCAAATCTGATAATTTTAATGATAAAATAAAAATATTTCAGTTAAAAACTATAATAATATGTTTAAATTCATTACTTACCACATCTCCCTTCGATTTAATTTTAAAAAAATCACCCTTCGATTTAGTTTAAAAAAAAAATCAACACTTTTCTTTGTGATCTCATCTCATATCTCGAGATTCCTACTTTCTTTACCCTAATAAGACCAAGACCCTAGCTTTAATGAAACAGAGCAATGATTCCAGGCAAGCACAAACTGATTCTCAGGTTCTAGGTAAAACACAAGGTCCCCGCGGTTGTAACACAACAATAGAACACCTACCTGTGTTTAATTCCAGAATCAATCCCCCAGAACCGGATGTGTTTAGGAATGTCTACAAGGCCAACAATCTCCGCTGGCTGCATGGATATCAAAAAGCACCATGATACTGTTTCTGAAGATAAGAAAACGTTGGTTTGTATAGCTTGTCGTGATGCAAACCTGGCAAATCATGGCAAGAAGTTTGTTGGCTTCACCACAAGCTGAAGCCATCTGGTCCATGACACCACATGGCGCTCCAACAATGTGATTCTCTACCTATTGTAAAGTTTGGAATGAGTCAATTTGCTATGTGGTCGGAGACAATTAGTAATGATTAGAAAGCTAGGCAAAAATCAGACCTTCTGGCAGAGTAATGCCAGATCCCTTGGGCTGATATTTAACCCTGCAGAAGGGAAATAAAATTTATGATGGTAAGTATTTTCTTAAAGAAAGATTGCAACCATATATTCCATGGAAAAAAATACTCCTGTAGTTTCATATGAAATTAATCCTTAGCAAATATCATACCAGAGACAGAACCATAGAGATAAAAGTAAAGAAAAATAAAACTTCTCAAAGAAATTTCTTTAATGGAAAATTTTTGTTCCGGTCCGCATCAATTTCACTCTGAAAAATAATATTTTAATAAAAGAAAGGAATTTGGTAAGGCAGCTGCAATGGCAGACATGCTAGCAACCTCAATAGATGCAGAAGACGATACACCTTTCCCTTCTGGAACTGCAGACGAAATCTAACATTTTTGTACAGAATATCATGATGTTAGCAAAAGAGATAAAAATAGATTAAGTAGCGAAACCATAAGCCACGGTAATTGTTTTCTAACGCGATAACCATGACATCTTTTAAAATTGACTTTTGCTCATCTATTTCAACATATTGTTTAAAGAGCCATATTCTGCGGAATTTTTTTCTGATTATTTAATAAATATAGAGATCAGTAAATTCAATAGAGAACCAAAGGTACCAGCATGCTGATACTGTCTTCAAAACGCAAACCCATTTCATTCATTAAGACCAGAAATGCTCCCGCAACATATGCTGCCCACCTGCAATGGTAATTATATTAAAATAACAGGATGCCATAAGCCATATGCATATAAAATACACATATAATTGCTCCTCACTTTCGGGTAGGATCTTCAGCAAAATATTCCTGTGCTCTTTCATAGGAAATTGGCTTCTCTCCATGCATAAAATCAGATAAATCCATATCAAACGTTGGACCCCGATTACTCAATTCCGAGCCATATGATACCTGGCATGATCCAATTTTTGTAAAAACATACATTAAGAGAGTCATTATCATCTACAAGATTGTAAAGGATTGATAAAATCATAAAAGATAATCCTGTCAATGGAAAGGCTTTCTCTCATAAGATTCTCCATTTGTTGCTTTTGTATTCTCATCAATAAGTCAGACTTGGACAAATTCCAACAAATGGTAAGTATCGTTTATTGTAACAAATAGTATTCATTGACTTTGAAAGTTCTCCACATACGATTTGCAAGACAGCCTTGGGATTTTGTTCTTTGTTATCTTGTCGAGCCTGAGCATGCTTCCACAGCCTATGCTTACTAGGATTAATTCGTTGTAAAGCAACATGGCAGGCTTC